CTATTCACACTTGCAAACCTCTCCTAGAGCAATTCCTGCTCTGTCCTATGAAGATTTCAAGAAGGTTCATAACATAGATGATTGGCTACACCTGCTGACAGCCATAGGGTCTGAACAGCTAAGTAATACTGCACCACCAAAAAACTCTGCCCTCCCATTTCTTTAGGTGCCAGATTTTGTTGGTTTTTAATGTCTGCAGGGGTGGGGTCAATAAAGCAGCAGCTGGGGCCAAGTTGAGAAACAAGACGGGATACCCGTCTCAAAAGCAAAAGCATAAGAACTCAACACACCTTCGGCCAAGCCAGCTTTTGGGGCTTCTTGCTTGAGTAACACATTTTAAAAAGGAACTGTCAAAAGTGATACAGATAAGCCAATTAATGCTTTAAATTGACAATCTTTTCGCACTCACTGCTCATTCGAAAATGCCTTCTGGAACTGTCAGGCATATGCAACACAGGCAATAAGCTGCAAAGCCACATTCACTGTGATTAGAAACTCATACCCTCCAACTTAAGTGTGTAGTATACACATATATAGTATTTACCACACGTGAACATCACATGTGAAGTTACATCAGTCATAACAGACACCAGACCATATCCGATTACTATAGTTCGTCACGCAAAAGCTAACAAACTATGTTCCAAGTCTTCAGTCGTACAACAGACAATGACGCTGCTTAACAAAATAGCCATTCCATTCGTAACCTCCATCATTTATTCTGGAGGATGAGAAACACAAGGCTGCAATCAAATTTCCCCCCCTCTCATTCCGGTAGCCACCCGCTCCAAAAGCATTTCCAGAATTCAGAGAGCGCTAACAATTATAGCCCGTTGTTTTAGAGTATAAAGCACAGACAGCACTGAACTTATTAATTAGCATTTCTCTAGAAACATCAATTTGGGAAAAACGCAGCGATGTGCACACAAGCTGCCTCCGGGATTAGATTTGAATTCATTTTAGATGAGGAGGCAATGATCTAAAACCTGACACGTTAACTATCCTTACTGACACGATCCTGGGTGGGAATAACATCAGCCCAAAGTGCGGCACAGTAAGCAAAAAGAAAACATGCTAACTTTTGGTATTCACAAATGATTGCGGAACGGGTGACTCAAATTCGCCTCTATGAGATTCTCGCAATTTTTAGTGGTTTTGTTTTTAAATCGACATCTATTTACGCGGCAGTATCAAAAAATAGCAAGTAGCTGTTACAGGCAGAACTGCACCGGCAAGAAAATTTAACCAACAAAAGGGTTAATTAGGGATACAAATTTTCTCAGACTGTTAATAATGGGAACGACACATAGTATGTGCCCATAAGTAATTCTCAGGTATCTTTGATCTCCAGCCCCAAGTGATCGCTGGCGCCTACCATAGCCCGGCCTCTGGGACTCTCTCAGAACCAGACATCTGGCTACTTTGTTGTTTTAGACTAATCTCATCCCAGGGGAGCTCAAGAAATGACACCAGGCAAGGAGGGTCCTGGCAAGGGAAAAGACATTACAGTATCAGCAGATTTCTAAGTGGACTGCAGTATCAAAATTGTCTTCAAATTTCTATGGGGAACCTATCGCCTCTCCGCTCTCCAGCTCAGCTCTCGCACACAACACACATGATCCCATTTTAAGGAACTGCTAATCTCTTTAAGGAAGCTAATGAATGATAATCCAGGCGAGAACACGCGACAAAGGCAAACCTAAGTACAAAACTGCAAGGAACAGGGGGATTTAATAAAGATTTTATTGACAGGTCAACGCACCGCATAATCAAATAACGTTTGCAAAGCCCCACAAAAATAACTCCAGCATCCAAACATCCTTTTCGACGAATTCACCGTCACAGATTTTAGCTGCCAGCAAAGTTACCATTAAAGTACGACCCTGCGTTGACAGCAGCAGTATCAGTGCCTGACTGCCTGCTCTGGGCTCAGGAAAAGTACCGTTCATGGAGCGCCAAGCCCGCAGGGGTAACGTGACCCGCTAACGCGAAGAAACAAAGGTTTATTCTTAAGTCTAGAGGTACTATTTCTATCATCAGAGACTAACGGGGATCCGTCTGTCAGGTCTCATCTTCCCCAAAGCACAGGTGACATTAGATGTGACACTCGGAGCAGCTGGACAAGAACTGCTGAGGGCACCGTGCCGAGCCCTCAGCACTAATGCCCCGTGCCCTGGGAACACCCAGGGCATGCTGATGGCTTGCATCTGGCAAGAGAAGGAACCTAGGCGCTTAGAGCCAGAAGAAAGAACACCCTCCCACGCATTCTCCTGAAGGCAGAAATACTATGAACATCACTCCAGCTACATACTTTCAAACGGTGCCATTTTTACAACACAGGGGTGGCGCACAGGAATCATAATAAGCAAGAGATCGCTTCCTCGTCAGTGTCTCTCGCTTCAAAAGCACCACTCTTACCTTTCCTTCCTTTCCTTTGGCAAGCACAAGTTTAAAGGAAGGGACGCCAGGTGCAGATTGCAATCTCCTCCTAAGGAGATGTCTGTCTGAAAGAACCTTGCCTCATTTCAGGGCGTTTTCAAAGCATTCAGAACAGAGCTGTGCAGAAAACTCTGACTAATCTGTCATACTGCATCAGCTCCCAAACCAAAGAAACTGCTGTCCAAGCCTTAACTAAGCGTTACATACAGAAGTAGCTTGAAAATCATGCGCTAAACTTGACTAGGGCTGATGTTCCAATAGAGCAGCCTCCTTTTCCTTTCTCTTCATATTCTCAGAACACAGACACCCGTTTCCCTTCAGCAACAACATTCCTCTCTGTGGGAAAACAACACTCAAAAGTCACCCTAATGTATTTTAGGTTTCTTAATGCACTCCAACATTGGATCAGCGGTAAAACCAGAGCTTCACTAGCTCCAGTTACACTGAGCGAACAGCTAAAAACCAAACCAAAAAAGCCACCAAACACCTGAACAGTTCAGCGCTCTACTGAGATATTTCACTTTTTTCCTGAAATACAGCCAAAGCAAATCCCTTACTGCTTCCTCTCATCAAACAACCACGCCGCTGAAATGAACACAGGTTGGTCCAAGCAACTACATTCCCAGAAAGGAGCTGCACCAGGACAACTGTTCTGTGTCCCCTCTACGTGTAATACTTGCTCAACAAATGCATCTCTTATAAACTTTGCTAACTCAGCCCGTCACAGTGTAATTGATGACTTCTATCACTCTGTAGCTAGCAGGTGGCTGTGCAGCTCTACACAATGGACACAAGGCAGAAAATGTCATAAAGGAACCCACGCTACCACACTAATGATTTATACCTATTTAGTAGTTCGTTATCTACTGCTGAAAAATCAGGAGTGCAGCAGAAGAAGAAAAGCACTGAGGTAAGAACAGGTTAAACTCATGTTTAAAATGTAGCACGTGACCGCATCAACAGCAAAAACAAAAAGTAAACGCTACACAGAAAGTTAGTACTTCACACTTTGTAAATATTGATCCACCTGCTGTCTCCACATGCCACAGAGCCCTTACAGGTGCATCCCACGCTTACCTTCACCAATACCTTTCATCAAACAATACTCTGCCCATGAACACGTATGACCTACTTCAAAAAATACATAGGAGATAAACAGTCAATAAAGCATAAAAGCCCCTCGCTAGTCCTATATATTAAAGACAAAAATACAGAGGATGGAGCTACAGCTTCTAAAAAAAGATTTCTCACTGTCTAAAAACAAGCACATTTTTATAGGACCATCTTACATACTACAGGTACAACTCCACATGTGTTTTACGGACTTGTTTTTAAAGCTATACGCCAACATCACAATGCTAACAGCAAATTACAAACTGTTTCAGGAAGTAAATACTCTCAGTTTATCTTTTTATTTTATTTAGGTATGCAAACAGTGGGAACTAATGCTACCTCCCACTATCTGCTAGGGAAGCACAGTTAATCACCAGTAAATAAAACTCTCCACAGCCTTTCCCCAAAAAAGTCAGCATCTGGAAGAACTGAGCACTGAGGGATGACAAAAACGCCAACTTGTCCATACAACAGCAAATCAAATATGAAAGAAAGCTCCAGAGAAAATAAAGGCTTCAAACAAAACTCATATTAACACTTCTCTTAATTAGGAAATGGAGACAAATATCCTCCATTTATTGGATGTTACATCAAAACAGAGAGAGGAAAAACCAGTTTGGACACTAGCAACATCTTAAAAACAGCTAGAACTCGAACAGACCAGCCAGTCTATATGAAAACAGAATGACAGATGATGAGCAGTATTTTGAAGGGCATACAGCTCAAGAACCCATTACGCTGCAGAACCAAGTACTCATTTCCAACCAGGGCTCCTGATTTCAACCAAAAATGAAACACTACATGTATAACTGCAACATCCTGTCAGACTGTCTTAACTAGACCATTTACCTGCATTGCCCTACAGTTCGCTGCTAACCGTGCACATGCTACACAGCTGTTCTTAAGTTAGATTTTTTTTTAATGTCCCCTCTAAACAGATAGAAGCAACTTCACATTCACAAAACACAGGTCTCAGTGGGGACTTCGACCACCACAATACCCACTGAAGGAACTACACAGCAAGATGCTAAAATACAAAGAGATTACTAGAACGTACTGATGATTACTTCCCCAACCGCATAGTAGAAAAAACATGTAAAAAGGTACTATATTGGACCTCATCCTCACCAACCAGGAGGGGCAGGGAAGTAGCACAACACTCAAGGACAGCCTTACCTACAGCAACCATAAAAAGGTTAAGTTCAAGATCCTAAGGGCATCAAAGAGGGCACACAGCAAGCTTGCTACACTGGGCTTCAGGAGAGCAGACCGCAAACTCTTCACTCCTCAGGAAAACCCAAGAGAACCTCAAGAAAGATATAGAAAGATATTTAAAGACCACCTTCTCCCAGTCCTTCTCCAAGTCCAGAAGCAGTACATACTGAAGAAAGAAAGGCAGAAAAAAATAACACAAGTCCACCAGAAACCAACAAAAACCACCCACCCAAACTTCCAAAATACGTAAAGAACACACAAAGGGCTGGGAAGGGCCTTTTTATAAGAGCAGGTGTAGCAGAAATGCTGAGTCACAGGCTGAAGCGGTGATTGAGCACCTGCTGGGAAGGCAGGGCCAACCCAGGGTAGCTCAGGTGCATGCAATGCTCCTGAGTAATGAGAAGGGGTGGAGTCGGGATCCACCCCTTCCCAGATCTCATTTAAAGCTTGGCAGCGAAGGCAAGGGTATCGTGTTGGTGATACCTGCCTACTTGAGGTGCTTTCAGGGTTAGTAAATTTTTTTTTTTTCTGTCTTTGTTTCTGTGTTTATAGCTGCTGTATTTGAGTATATTCTTATGTATTGTGGCCTGGGACTTTCATACTGTGATTTAATTGCTCTGTGTTGTATTGCATTATAGTTTAATAGCATTACTTTGCCCCGTGGGCTTCTTGATCTGGACTTAAACAGGTATCCCCAAAACAGGTGTTTAGCAGTTTAATCTAGGCTGGCCCATGACTTTCAAAAATGGATTATAATGGATTATTAGTCTGGTATCTTTGTTCTTTACCTATGGAGGCAGTTAGAGGAAAGTCAAACTGTCCTCAATTGAGTGGGGAAAGGAACAATCTCAAGTAACAGAAACTGAAGGATAGGAACCAGGGAAGTTCACCCTACCTGACCCACTGGTTGAAACATAGTCAGGGAAGCAGAGTAAAGAAATCAGTTTTCTGGTGGATGGAGGTGTCTCTTAATCTATGTTACATCAAGAATTATTTTCTGTAGGTGCTGAGTTAATATCAGTTGGAGCTAATAAGATAAAGCTTATTTTCTTAGAAGGCCAATGAAATATAGGCTTGGAAAGCAAGCAGGAACATGTAATTTCTTATATGTGCTGGGTTCTTCAAAACCATTACTCAGGCGAGACTTATTAAAGCAACTGGGTGGAGAGACTAAAGTTGATGAAGTAAAGCTGGAGCTATGGGTCAAGCAAGCCCAATAGATGATAAACTTTGGCTTCAATGCAAACTGGAAAAAACAATGTTGTACCCCAAGAAGTTTCAGAAATCTTGAATCGGGTATATTCAGGAGCGAGGGCATCAGGGATGCCTGGCGGAACCACAAATACAGCCCCATTAGAAATCAAAAGCAGGAGCCAGCCCAGTCAGGGTCAAGCAGTGCCCTTTAAGGATATGAGATTGTAGCTGTTGTTTCTTTTAACCTTCTAACTTCTTAAAGTTCAGATTATTATTTGAATGTGACTCCAAATACGATATCACACTCTTGCTGGTGACAAATTGGATGGCAAGAGCTATGGTCAGGTACAAGACTTGAGGATGATAAACATAATTCTTGAATTGCCACTGGTGGCAAACTGATGCGCTTTATTAACCGAGATAAGGAATGAATAGTTGGGGTTTACTGTTCTGGCTTTGAAGGATACACTATCTGCCTGGTTTTGCCAAAAAGAGTGAAGTTAATTGCTTTTGAATAGGGAAACTTTAGTACAGGGAAAGAAGACCCAGTTAACCTTGACAGTGTTACTTGGGGTTGTGAGAACAGCCCAATTTACTTTTGGGGAATGGTCAGCTAGGGAGCCCGAGACTTGAGCCCTCTGTCCCAAGGCGGAGCTTTACTGTAGTATGTGGATGCCACAGTAACAGAAGAGAACTGTGTACTATAAACTGTGTTTGCTGTATTTTATTGGTTTTAGTGACTATCAGGTTTATCGGTGGGAAGCTTAACTGGCTAAAGAGAAGGAAGGAAGCAATTTGCCTGACGCAGAACACTGATGCAGAGCTACCTCTGAGCCGGAATTGCCCGACTGCTTTGAGACTGTCTATGTCAGCTGGCCAGACTTACAGGAGGAACGACCGGATGATGCTGAGGATTCCTGGATTCACTGATGGAAGCAGGCTTTTGAGACAAGGAAACTGTAAGGTAGGGCATGCGGTAACTGACAAAGTAATCAAAGCAAAACCGTAAGCGGTGGGGGGAATTTCTCAGAGGGCTGAAATATTTTCCTTGACAAAAGTTTTAATGTATGGATAGATAAATTTTGGGGTGACAGATGCTCACGGTACCATCTGGGAAGACCGAGGGTTGCAACCGAAGAGCATGGCTATTACACATTGTGAAGGACATGAGAAAGGTAACGCTGTGTGGGAAATCGGAAATTAGATGGTGGTTCTGGTGGCAAAACTGGCAGCTGAAAGTGAAGAAATTGGTGAACTGGCTTTAATTTTCAAATCTCTGAACCTGAGTCAGAACCTGTAAAGTATTCTAGAAAGGGAAGGAATCTAATGACCGATTTAGATGGGATGAGAGCAAGCTGACAGATGGGCGCTTACCCAGACGGATGCGTTGTTGTGCTCTTTAGTATCTTATGGAAATTGGTTCTAGGGGAACATAATAAAAGATACTGGGGGGTGGGGGGAGGGAAGACACTCTAAGGATTTGAGCAAAATAAATGTTCAATCCTAGTTCCAGGAACAAAGTACAAGCAGAGCCTATTGGAATATGGAAATTTACAGGGCAATGATGTCAAACATAATTTTTTTAGAGCTGTCAAGAAAAGGGGGGTTCTGTTATATGTTAGTTCTAACTGATACCTTTTCAGGGTGGTTAGAAGCATTCCCCTGCAGGACAAATAAAGCTGTGGAAGTGGACAAAGTATCGCTGCAGGAAGTAATTCCGAGGTTTGGGGGTCCTGCAACAGTATTCTCTAGCCAGGGAACAAATTTTATTGTGAAGTTAGTCCAACGAGTCAGTAAGCTACTTGGGATAGACTGCATCGCACGCATCATGCAGACCACGGGCGAGCGGTCAGGTAGAGAAGAGGAATCACTTAAAGTACAGATTGTAAATCTGGGCTAGGAAGCTAGACTATTCTAGCCACGGTCATTGCCTTTGTTGCTTCTGAGGATGAGGACAGAACTTAAGGCCAAAGAGGGGTTAAGCTCTTTTCAAATACTGTATGAAAGGCCTTATGTAGTACAATGGGACAGGGAATGTCCCAGTACAAATCCCCAGATGGGGAATGAATTACTAACTCGGCGTGCAATAAGCCTACGGAAGCAGCTTCAGGAAATACAAAAACTGGTTCTGGGACGTAGGGCCTGAGGCCTTGATGGACATGTACGTGATCTTTGACCTAGAGACTGTATATTGGACATCTTTCAGATCTGCTTGAGGCACCAAAGCGGGAAGGACCGTTCCAAGTACTTCTAACCACCCGCACGGCAATCAGAATCGAGGAGGTGTCTTCGTGGAGTCGTCGCTCCGGGGCAAGGAAGGCTCCCAACCTTAATGGACCCCTACCCTAAGGGACCTCTGAAACTTACGATGCGAAAACAGAATGCTTAATATTTATCTCACCTGTACAATTTTAACTCTTTATTCAGCTTGGTCAGAAAATACCTAAATAAAGCTAACTGAAAAGCTTACTGAAGCTTTGAATGTTTCAGGTTTGTTAGTATGTACAACCTTCTCCAGAGCTGAAGGAAGGGGTGCTAGTTTACCTAGCAGTTGCACTGAACTGATTCATACCAGACTGGGTAACAAATCAGATTGAAAAAGATGGAGGAAAGGGTAAATATGGGGAAGAAAGTCAGAGCAAGCTAGGCCCCAGATTTGACCTACAGTCATTAATAATACGCTGTCCATTTTTATAGACAGGAATGATGACGGTGTGGATCCTATAAACATTGGACGGAGGGACGTGTCAGGTCTAGGGTATAGGTAGGAATATGGCAATTCTGGGCTGGTAACTGGGGATAATGAGACAGCAAAGTATTAAAAGGGATCCTAGGACTAATAGCACTACAGTGCGGTCCAGAGATGATGTATCAGCTACGGTGGGAACGAGGACTGTGTTAACGGTGAGAATGACTACTAGCCTTCATCGAACAACCACCAGAGACCTTTACCACATTTGTAGAATGCATGCTCGAGAGGGTGGGATGACATGTTAAGTATTTGTCAGAATTCTGGCTCACTTTTTTTGGAATGTAATAAATGTCTGTACTTAAGCATTTAAAAATGTAGTTGCTGCTTCTGTGTGTGGGTGAGTTAGGGGGAGCTATGCCCTTCATACCTGGTGCTGTAATAAACATACCTGTTTTAAACCTTAAGTGGGTTGTGAAGTCTGATTCTGTGTGTCACATACCGCTGAGAAGAACCTGGCCTCATCCATTTGCCTCTCACTTCCCTTTAGGTATTTGTAAACACTGATCTGAGCCTCTCTCAATTTTGCTTTGCACTGGCTGGACAGACCCAGCCTTTTCTCAGCCTTTCCTCACGTGGGAGCTGCTGTATTGTGTCTGCGGTTCTCTGTTGGACTCTTTCTAGGAGGTCCTGTCTTTTTTGAATGAGAGAGCCCAGAACAGGACACAGTAGCCTAAGCGGGGCCTCAGCAGGTCGGAGTAGAGGGGGAGGGTCGCCTATTTTGACCTGATGGCTTTGCTCTTGTTATTTAAACTAGAAAGAAAGACCACGTTTACAAGGAGTAACCCGATGAAAATACAGTGAGCAAAAATGCAAGGAATACCCTCTCATAACCCCCTAGTGTTTTGGAGCAGCTGCACAGCAATGCTTAATGAGACTAGCTAGACCAAGTGCTGCTTGCTGGAATCCACCTACTGTGAATCACACGGACCCAAATTTCATTTGCAACTCGCTCCCTCTATCCAGTCCGTTGCTTTGATTTCGGCAGATGTCTAGCTGATTTACACTAGGATGAAAGAGAAGAATCAGGCCCAGCTTTGCAGGTACCATCAGTAGCAGCACAGGTGTTCTCTGGCCGCTAGCAGCTGCTGCATGCTAATTGGCAGGAAAACAAAATTCATTTCTAGTTGCAAAAAAGAACACCTAAGAAGGGAGATGACTCAAAATAAAGTCTCAGCATATTAAAATGTGTTCCACTGGCATAAATAACCTGACAAAATGAAATTTTCCATTGCATTGCTCCACGCAATTCAGGAGCTTGAAGTTTGAAAGACGGGAGATCTCCTTAAAATGTGCTCGTACGACAGATCTGCGTTAGGTTCCAGAAAAATTATCAGGGAATATGAAAAGACTCGCTCTCTCTCACTCAGAAAACAGCAGAAAGAGAAAACGAAACAACAAAACGCCACAATAATTGATAAACAAACTACGAACACGGTGCCCTGGAAACATTGCTAAAGTAGCCATCTTCTTCATAAGATGCTGTACGATAAGCCACAGGAACAAGCAATTTGCCCGAGGAAAGTACTCTCTGGAAATAAGCACTGACTGCTACTAGGACCGAACGGTCTGTGCAGCTGAGAAATAGACTTCTGCAGATTTCAGTGCGGTTGTGTATCAGTAAGGAAAAAGGCAAACCGCATGCCGGAACTGACCGGTGATTTGAAAGGGGAGGGATGTGACGGTCCACAATCAGTTAAAAAGACATGTCGAAATGTGGGGTACGGTGCCTAATGTTACGAGAAACTTTTGAGGCAGGGGAGATTTGGGAGAGCGTTAAGCATTATTAGATGGAAAAAGACAATAGGAAAGAAATTTTGTATGCTTAGAAAAAAAGAATATGCGAGTACATGTTGGAATCTTGCTTAAAGCACAAGAGCTTAGCTCTCAGACTCGTGCATTTTAAAAACAGAATCGCAGAATATATCCACAGACAGAGAAATGCAATTCCGATCTAGCTTGAATGCTGTCATTTCTTGAATTCCAGGTAACCTATCAATCTGGTGTGTGCTTCCCCTTCTCAGAGGATTGTTAGGAAATCATATATATTGAACATAGGGAAAGTTCACGATAAGAGCGTGATAATTTTGATCCGAAGTGCTGTGGTTAAGCAGAATGAAACCTGACAGCATTGCTTTTTTAAGCAGACTTTCTCTGGTTCCGGTTATAAGAGCTTCTTTCTGTAGGATGAGTTTATGTTTCCAGATGTTCAAAGTAATTAAAACGTCAGTTGCCATAGATCTATCTACTTGTCACTTACGGTTGTAAATCAGGGAACAAACGTGGCCTTTAACAAATGCCTCTTCTTAAAGTACCCGAAAGGATGTTCAAAAATGGAACGCTGAACTCTGAACTTTTACCTGGAAGTGAAATGGCACAGTAACTTTGGACAGTTCTGAATAACATCACCCCAGATGAAGCCTTCCTATAAATTCTGCAGCTCCAGGACAACGAACGCATACGTGGGGGCACATTTTTGAATACGGTCGCGTAATATTCCGCTTTTACAGGCAGCACAACACCGACGAATTCTAACACTTCCACGAGCAAACACACGGAGCCCTGTGAACTCTGCATACGAGTGATGTTGTTGTTGGCAGGAATGTTTGCCAAATAGTTCCCGAGACGTCGAAGCAGAGTTCAGACTGAGCTACCGAGGAGATCGCTTTCGCTCACCGCTCTTACAGAAAAGCATGCGTGCACACGTGCGCGGCCTGGAAACGGTGTGGAAGTCTGCTGAGTAAACCCACAAATGAGTACCCATTCCCACTGACGGGATGGCAGTCCGAGTCTCAGTTAACCTTAGTCTTGCTCACGCTTTTCCGTCCTGTTTCACTTCAAAGTTTCTCTTTTTAGGAGCAGTATCAGCCGCCTCAGACAGGAATACCGTATCACTGTACGCAGTGCTTCGATTTATTCAATTGCGACTGAACATCGCTGAGATTTACTGCGTTCTATTTGTACAGAAGGAAAGAATTACTGTTGCGAACCAAGGGAAGTGTTTGCCTCGATGCTGTCACAAAGATGAACCTAGCTGAAAAGGAAACTTGCCACAAGTCTGTGTCACACAGCAACAAAAGGCGGTGTTGGTTTCTTTTTCCCCTGTTTTTTACAAAGATGTGAATTAATTCACAATGGAAAGCAAAGAATTGAACTAATTCTGATCTTTGGCACCTGGATTAGACATTGTAAAATCCCCAGAGATAAGGTGGAAAACTGTGATTGTGTCACGCAGCGGCACTACGTCTCAAAATGAACTTTTCAAGCTGCACAATGTCTGAATTGTCTGGGTATGCCAAGCCTCAAGGTTTTGGGGTAGCTGTCAGGGCTGTGGGCAGGCCCTAAGGCGGCCCAGCTGCGCTAACGAACCCATCACCTCCACGTGCTGCAGGGCTGCCCGGGCACAGCTGCGCCTTGTTGGGAGCCCAGGGCAGGGCCCACCCTCCAAGCCTCTTAAACCCTGCCGGAGGCAGTAGGGAGCTACTGGGAGTTCTCAGTGCTCCTTGCAGGAGGCTGCTGGGCTTACATGCTGCTTTTTGGGTAGCTGGTAAGTTAGCTGGTAATGCTGCTCCTGCTGCTCCTGCCCTGTTTTTTTGTTGTTATTGTGGGGCTCCTTGCTCTTGTTTTAGAGCTGGTATGGGGCTGCTGCTTCTAGGCTTTGATGTTTTTGCTCTTTTTGGGGCTACTATGGGGTTGCTATTACTGGGCTCTCTTTTTTTTTTTAACAGCTAATGCGAAGTGGCTGCTGCTGTGCTCTTGCTGCGTGTTTTGGGGCAGGCGCAGAGCAACTGCCAGGCTCTTCTGCACTCACGTGATGCTTCTGTATCCTGGCTCCCGCTCTGCCTTCCTAGGGAGGCTGGGTGAGTTTGGAGTTGCTGCAGGCCCTCCTGCTTGTGGTGACAGAGTAAGTAGGATGAGGCTATGCTGCTTAGCCTGGTGCTGCTGCAGGTGAGAAGCAGCACAAGGCTATTTTTTTCCTTTATGATGAAAGTAAGATTGACTTGCTTAATTCTGTCTTGTGTTTTGTGTCCAGGCTGAGGACTACAGCAGGGCCTCCTGCAGCAAGGATAACTTCCCGCAGCGATGGGACCGTGTGGGCTGTGCTCCCTGAGGGCCATACCATGGCGTGAGGACTACTGCTGGGTGGGTTGCTAGGGGCTCCCTGCCTGTGGCAGGAGGCTGCCGAGCTCCCCCTCTGCTGTTTCTGGGGTTGGTGCAGTGGCAGTGCTGGGCTTTTTCTTTCTTAAAGATGAGCAGGGTTTTGGAGGGGTTTTTTGGTGTTTTCAGCCCCTTTTGCTCCCATGGTGGTGAGGGGGATGTAATTGTTGGTCCTGCCCCTCTGAGACCTGTTCTGCTGCTGGGGTTAAGAAACAGAGGGCTGCAAAAATAGAAGTGATGCCTGAGATCAACACTTCCTTTGTTTTTTATTTGTTGGCTTTTTTTTTTTTAACTCCTACAGTGGGGTGCTGAGGATCAAGGCCCAGCTTAAACAGGTGAGCAGTTCTGGCAGTGATGAGACTGAGGAAGTGGTGAGTACAAAGAAGGGGCACCTGTGACAGGGAGCTCTTGGTTTTTCATTCAGCTCTTTGTGGAGCTGGTACAGGGCTGCTGCTGGGCTCTCAAGTGGTTTTTTTTTTTTTTGGGGGGGGGGGGGGGGGCTGGGGGTTGGGCAGTGGGCTGTTGCTCTACCCCCCAAGGCAGTTTTACAGGTACTGTGGTCACCTGCCTGCAGTGGTTGTGGGTATGAGTAGAATGTGGTGATGCCCTGCACTCCCCTGGGTGTGAGAAGCAACACAAAGGGCTTAAAATGTAAGCGATGCCTGTTAATGTGTCTTTTTATCTTCTCCACTGTTTTTATCCTTTTAGGGGAACTGTTGAGTCACGGCCTGAACCTCTGATCACCTGAGGTGAGCAATGAGCCAGCCCTGGGAGCACAGGTGAAGGCAATTTACCTGTGCTCTCAGGGCTGACCCATTGCTCACCTGTGAAGGCAATTGACCTGTGCTTCTGGAAGGAGGTGGAGGTTGGTTGCACCTGACCACCAGCTGACTACCGGTTGGGAAGGATCTCTTTCTGGAGTTTTCCAGTGAGCCCAGGACCAGGGTAAGCCCTTGTATGGGAACTGTTGAGTCACGGCCTGAACCTCTGATCACCTGAGGTGAGCAATGAGCCAGCCCTGGGAGCACAGGTGAAGGCAATTTACCCGTGCTCTCAGGGCTGACCCATTGCTCACCTGTGAAGGCAATTGACCTGTGCTTCTGGAAGGAGGTGGAGGTTGGTGGTGGAGGTTGGTTCCACCTCTCCTGGACCCCATTTATGAGCTGACTACCGGTTGGGAAGGATCTCTTTCTGGAGTTTTCCAGTGAGCCCAGGACCAGGGTAAGCCCTTGTATGGGAACTGTTGAGT